TTGCAGATGCCTTTTGTACTCAGGAGTTTCACATTGACCGTGTTTAGATTGTCACTTAGCCATTGCAGATGCAAATTGTTTGTTATTGGCATTACATAGGTAGTAAACTGTAAAAATTTAAAAACAACGTAGTATACCCAAATAGGAGACAAATATAAATGGGTACTTATTTTAATCTCACTCAAGGAGTACTGAATAACCCAAACGTTTAAAGTAGGAGTATTTTCTGTTCTTTTTACACACAGCCTCCCTCATGCCAAGGTTTCTGTGTGTTCCCTGTTTCCCCCACTCCTCTGTAAGCGGGATCTCCATTCTAACCTCTCCCAAAACAGTCCTCCATTCTCTCCCCCTCACCATGCCAGGGGCTGTGTGTGCCCCCCATTTTCTCCTCCCTCTATCCCAGGATCTCCCATTCTCCCCCCAAATGCCAAGAGCTCTGTGTGTGCATCTACATATATACAGGCAGACAGGGAAATGCTACGGAGGTGAGTGTAGCCTGTTAATTCATCCAGCTGCTCCCAGGAGTTGGCCACCAAAGGAGTCAGGGAGAGACTAATTCAGAGAAGTGGTCTCGCAGTTCGTAACCACCGGAGGCAGTAGGTCAAGATGGCATTTTACATGGCAGGAGACAGTCAAGGATGTGCGGCTGTGGCTTCAAGAAAGAAGAGGACAGGGAGGAACTCCACACAGCTAGAAGTTTCCAATTGATACCAGGTCCTCAGTGTAGAAATTATGGAAGATACCTCTTTAGATACAAATAGTCCAAGGGAATTCAGAGATGCACAGGACATCTCTGTGGATGGCAGCTCAGCCCAACCTGTAAGAAAAATCAAGCTTGTCCACAAAGATTTCTCCAACCATCCAAGGAAGACGGATGATCCTGGCTAGGGATTCGGTACTCTAAGACTGGATAGGTTTTTGAGTTGATAGGAAGGGATCCATTGGCACTAATGACACTGTGTCATGGACTATTTCACAGATAATAGATTACTTCAGGGAACTTGAAAGCGTGCTGAAGAAGAAAAATGTCCAAGTGATCTTCTCTCGGATTCTTCCTGTCCCATGAGCAAAGGAAGACAGAAGATTCTGGACGTGAACCTCTGGCTAGGTAAGTGGGGTAAGGTAGAGTGTTTTGGTTTTATCAAACATTGGTCCACCTTCTACAGGGAAAGGAGGCTGTAGAGTTTGGATAGCCTTCACCTCAGTAGATGGTGATCCATTCTTCTCAGTCTGGCTAAACTAATAACAAGAGATGGCCTTGTCTTTCTTGAGTGCTTCTTTAGCACTTGGATCGTCCAGTGGCCCCACTGACTGTTTGGAAGGCTTCCTGCTTCTGATGTACTTAAGAGTTTATGCTCTTTTCTATGTTCATCACTAGGATTTGACTTCCAATTTTGAAAGGATGCCTTTTTGCTTCTGTGACACTCTATACCTCGGGGGAGCACCCTGTAACCTCCATATTCATCATTTGTATATAATTGTGATATTTCATATAAACCATGCTGTGTAAGGTATCATGGGAAAGGTTATGATCTGCTGAAAGCCATTGCTCTATCTAAATATGTATATCATTGGTACAATTGAAGTTATGAGATTGTGTTGTATGGTTGTCACTAAAATATGCTGTGAGTTGGAGATCAACCAGATATTAGCCAAGGTGAGTGTTGAACAAGAAAGGATCTTGAGTGGTGCAAGATGGTACATCCCTGTAGTATAAGGCTGGCAGCTGGGGGGATTTGGCTGGTGCCTTTCTCTGTGTAATTTGTGAATGGCTCTGGGAGCATTCATGCAATCTGGCTGGATGGAGTTGTACTGAGTGATAACAGCACCTGGAAGGATTTGCTGTTTGTCACCAGTAATGCATTGTGAGAGACAACTCAGATTGGTGAGTTAAGGGGGCAGAGTGGTTCCACGGTCCCAGGTTGCACCCCGGGCATCCCATCACAGCTTCTAACTGACTCTTTTACTCTGCTGTGTAGCCATGGTGGCATTTTGTGGTTCTCTTACTGTTGGTTTTTTTTGGTGTATATATTTAGTTTGAGTCTCTGTTATGGTGTTTTTAAATAGTCTCCATGCAGTTTGCAAGCACTTCACCGTTGTGATGGTTCCTTTTCATTTCCATTTAACTCACTTCTTTTTTTTTTTTTTGGTGTGTTCCCCTTTTTGAAGTTAAATGCTACTGTGGTAGGTTTCTTAGGCATTCTTCCCCAAGCAGTTCAGCTATAGTCACCCCCTGGACCAGATGCTATGCTAAACTTAGGACTACATTAAAAACTGCCTCTCCTATTGTGGTATCCAAGACAGGCTGCTCCAAGTGTACCCAGTCAACATGAGGATAGTTGAAATCCTGCATTATTGCATTTCCTGCATTTGCAGCCACTCTAATCTCCCTGAGCATTTCACAATCATCATCCTGGTCAGGTGGTCCATAGTATACTCCTACTGCAATACTATGATTGTTCAAGCATGTAATTTCTATCCATAGAGATTTTAGGGTACAATTTGATTCATTTAAGATTTTTACTGTATTTGAATCTATGCTTTCTTTCACATACAGTGCCACTCCCTCACCAGTGCACCCTACTCTGTCATTCCTACATATTTTGTACCCTGGGACAGTAAAAGCTTTTTTATCTGACACTTCACCGACTGGCAACCTCTATAAACTGGCATTTCTGATCTGCACTGAAAGTCCGGTTTATAGTGTGGTTGGTGCGGGGCCGGCAGGAGGCTGGGGTGTGGGAGGGGCTGCGGGGTGTGCTCTGGGAGGGAGTTTGGGTCCGGGAGGGGGCTTGGGGCAGGGGGTTGGGGCACAGGAAGGGCTTGGGGTGCTGGATGAGGGGGGACACTCACTTCCAGCGGCTCCCTGCAAGCAGCTCCCTGTCCCTGCTGCTCCTGATGGAGTTGCAGCCAGGTGGCTCTGCAGTCACTCTGTCACTGTCCCCCCCTCCCTGAGCGCTGATGCCACAGCTCCCCGCCCATTGGCCGGGAACCGCAGCCAATGGCAGCTGCAGGGGGTGGCGCCTGCAGATGGAGGCAGCGTACCTGCTTGCAGAGCTGCCTGGCCGTGCCTCCGCCAGGAGCAGCAGAGACGGGGAGCTGCCGGAGGTTAGCACCCCCCCTTCCCGGACCCAAACTCCCTCCCACGCAGCCCCTCCCACGCACAAGTCCACCCCAAACCCCTCCCTCTGAGTTAACTGGCATTTTTAATTTACCAGAACCCCTCGTTCCCCCAGCATGCCAGTTAAAAAAGCTTTTACTGTATTACCATGTCCCATTGATTATCCTCGTTCTCCCAAGATGCTCATAGACTCATAGACTTTAAGGTCAGAAGGGACCATTATGATCATCTAGTCTGACCTCCCGCATGATGCAGGCCACAAAAGCCGTCCCAACCCCTTTCCCTTGACTCTGCTGTTGAAGTCCCCAAATCCTGTGGTTTAAAGACTTCAAGTAGCAGAGAATCCTCCAGCTAGAGACCCCCGCCCCATGCTGCGGAGGAAGGCGAAATACCTCCAGGGCCTCTGCCAATCTACCCTGGAGGAAAATTCCTTCCCGACCCCAAATATGGCAATCAGTAGAACCCCGAGCATGTAGGCAAGATTCTCCAGCCAGCCCCTCATTGGCCACTGATACTATTTACCAGCGATGGCACGCTGTTTATTTGACTAAAATCACGTTATCCCATTAAAGCATTCCCTCCATAAACTTATCGAGCTTAATCTTAAAGCCAGACAGGTCCTTCTCCCCCACCGTTTCCCTCGGAAGGCTGTTCCAATATTTCACCCCTCTGACGGTCAGAAACCTTCGTCTAATTTCAAGCCTAAACTTCCCTACGGCCAGTTTATATCCATTCGTTCTCGTGTCCACATTAGTACTGAGCTGAAATAATTCCTCTTTATTATCACTACTCTCATTTCACCCATCTTCGTCAGAGGTGAAAGTAAGCCAGTCCAGTCTGGTACGGCATACCGGCAAGAGCCAGTAGCCGGGCTTGGGCTGGGATTTAAAGGGCTCGGGGCTCCCCGCAGTGACAGGAGCTCCGGGCCCTTTAAATCCCGCCCCCAGCCCGGCAAGACTCGAGGTTCCCCGCAGCCGTGGGAGCTCTGAGCCTGGAGCTCCGCGGCGCCCGGCGCCCTTTAATTTGCCCCTAAGCCCTGGGGGCTCCCAGCCACCTCTGCAGCTGGGATCCCCGGGTTGATTTAAAGGCCCTGGGGCTCCCAGCCACAGCCGGTGCCTCAGGGCTTTTAAATCCTGAGAGGCCCCGCCTCTTCCGGATGGGGCCTCACCCCGATCTTCATATTTACACTTCTAGCACTTGTACATAAGCACTTGCACATGTTGCAATATTCAGTTGCTCATCTTCACATGTTATGTCAAATAGGGCTTGTTTAGATTTTACAAAAACCATGATATAAATTAATATTCAATCCATTTTCAACTTTGAAACCTTAAAAACTACTGTGCCAGAAGGAGTCAAAAGACTGGGCTCACCTCAAAAAAGAATTCAAAGAAAGGCAATTATTGATATTTATACAATTTCTAAACTAAGAGATTTACATGTAAATCTCCATGGAATTCATGACAAACTAGTCTGAACTCAAGTCTCAGGGGGTAGCCGTGTTAGTCTGTATCTACAAAAACAACAAGGAGTCTGGTGGCACCTTAGAGTAGGGTGACCAGACAGCAAGTGTGAAAAATCAGGACGGGGGTGGGGGATAACAGGAGCCTACATAAGAAAAAGACCCCAAAATCAGGACTGTCCCTATAAAATCGGGGCATCTGGTCACCCTACCTTAGAGACTAAAAGATCTGTTAGTCTCTAAGGTGCCACCAGACTCCTTGTTGTTTTTGTAGTCTGAACTCTTGCATAATGCAGACCATTGAAATTAATCTCATAAGCACTTCCCCCCAATACTCCCTCTACGCCCCCCGGCTCACCCCTCCCTCCAATTCTCCCCGCGCGTTCCACCCATCTCCCTGCAACCCCTTGTCGGTACCTGCCCGGCTCCCCTTCTCTGCGCGTGCCGCGGTTCCACACCCTTGGCTCTCCTAGCTCGGGCACGCGCAGTGCTTACCACTCTCGGGTGAACTCGGAAGCGGGCACCTGAAACCGTATGGTGGCCGCATAACGTCAGACGGAAGTGATAAGCCGACGGGCTTGTACTTCCGGGCTAGCGCTGTGCTTGTGAGGGTGCTGAGTCTTGAGCCACGCTATGTCGGGCAGAGACGGTAACGGGGTCTCTAGAAAGCTAGTGTCCCCTTTTCTCCTGCCGGCCCTTAGGGTTCGCTTTAATGCGGCTAAAGGCTGAGCCCGTCCCATGTCCCGGATCGGCACTAGAGGAAACAGAGACTTGCTGGGCTTTGTGTTCCCGCCGTCCCTTCGTGCGTGGCTCTGGAGTGGGTGCCGCTCGCGCTCCCCCCCTTTTCCCTTTCTCCCCGTGAGGGCTCCGGGGCGAGCGCCGCTCTCCTCCCGCAAAGGGTCCGGGGGTGGGGGGCTCGCATGCGAACACCCGGCTCTGCGCCTCACTGTTTCCTTTTCCTTTGGTGTAGGTGGTAAGAAGAAACCTCTGAAGCAACCGAAGAAACAGGCAAAGGACATGGACGAGGTGGGAGTCAGTGCTGAGCAATTCCCTTCGTGGGCGGGCTGAGGGTCTGGCTACCGGGAGGGGACTTTGCTCACCTTGGAATAGGGTTGGGGGAGCAGTGGCACCTGTAACTGGGTTTTGTGGAGATAAACTTGACTGGTAAAGTGGTCATAGTGAGGCTGTGGTCTAATGCAGGGGTTCTCACAACAAAATTTTTGGTGGCCTCAGAGTGCAGCCACCAACTCATATTGGTGGCCAGTCTGACAAATTTTCCTGAAATGCTTGGGGCAGGGGGTTGGGGTGCAGGAGGAGCTTGGGGTGCCAGATACGGGATGCTCACCTCCAGCAGCTCCCTGCAAGCATGACCCAGTATGGCCTAAGGGCCATCTAGTCCAGTATCTTCTGGCATTGGCCAATGCAAGGTGCCCCAGAGGGAATGAACAGAACAGGTCATCATCAAGTGATGAATCCTGTGTTTCCCATTTCCAGCCTCTCTTTACCAGAAGCTAGGGACACCATCCCAGCTCATCCTGGCTAATAGCTATTGATGGACCTATTCTCTGTGAACTTATCTAGTTCTTTTTTGAACCCTGTTATAGTCTTGGCCTACACAACATCCTCTGGCAAGGAGTTCTACAGGTTGATTGTGCATTGTGTGAAAAAACACTTCCTTTTGTTTGTTTTAAACCTACTGCCTATTAATTTTATTTGGTGACCCCTAGTTCGTGTTTATGAGAAGGAGTAAATAACACTTCCCTATTTACTTTTTCCACACCAGTTATGAGTTTATAGACTATCATATTCCCTCTCAGTCGTCTCTTTTCCAAGCTGAAAAGTCCCAGTCTCCTCATATGGCAGACACTCCATACCCCTAATCATTTTTGTTGCCCTTTTCTAAATATTTTCCAATATATCTTTTTTGAGATGGGGCGACCACATTTGCATGGAATATTCAAGATGTGGGTGTAACATGGATTTACATAGAGGCAATATGATATTTTCTGTCTTCTTATCTGTCCCTTTCTTAATGATGCCCAACGTTCTGTTTGCTTTATTGACTACAGCTGCCCATTGAGTAGATGTTTTCAGAGAACTATCCACAATGACTCCAAGATCTTTCTTGAATGGTAACAGCTAATTTAGACCTCATCATTTTATATGTATAGTTGGGATTACGTTTTCCAACGTGCATTACTTTTCATTTACCAACATTGAATTTCATCTGCCATTTTGTTGCCCAGTCACCCAGTTTTGAGAGATCCTTCTGTAGCTCTTCACAGTCTGCCTGGGACTTAACTGTCTTGAGTAGTTTTTGTATCATCTGCATATTTTGCCATGTCACTGTTTACCCCTTTTTCCAGGTCATTTATGAATATATTGACTAGGACTGGTCCCAGTACAGACCACTGGGGGGCACCACTATTTACCTCTCTCCATTCTGAAAACTGCTACCCTTTGTTTCCTATCTTTTAACCAGATAGCAGTCCATGAGAGGACCTTCCCTCTTATCCCATGACAGCTTACTTTGCATAAGAGCCTTTGTTGAGGGACCTTGTCACAAGGCTTTCTGACAATCTAAGTATACTAGATCCACTGGATCCCCCTTGTCCACGTTCTTGTTGACCCCCTCAAAGAATTCTAGTAGATTGGTGAGGAATGATTTCCCTTTACAAAAGCCATGTTGACTCTTCCCCAACAAATCATGTTCATGCCCGGTACTGAAGTCAGGCTTACTGGCCTGTAATTGCAGGGATCACCTCTGGAGCCCTTTTTAAAAAATGGCATCACTTAGCTATTCTCCAGTCATTTGGTACAGAAGCTGATTTAAATGATAGGTTACAAACTACAGTTAGTAGTTCTGTAATTTCACATTTGAGTTCCTTCAGAACTCTTGGATGAATACCATCTGGTCCTGGTGACTTATTACTGTTTGTTCCAAAACCACCTCTAATGACACCACAATCTGGGACAGTTCCTCAGATTTGTCACCTAAAAAAAAGGCTCAGGTTTGGGAATCTCCCTCACATCCTCAGCCCTGAAGACGGATGCAAAGAATTCATTTAATTACTCTGCAATGGCCATATCATCCTTGAGTACTCCTTTAGCATCTCAATCATCCAGTGGCCCCACTGGTTGTTTAGCAGGATTCCTGCTTCTGTTGTACTTAAAAAAAAATTGTTGCTATTACTTTTTGAGTCTTTGGCTAGCTGTTCTTCAAATTTTTTGGCCTTCCTAATTATATTTTTACACTTCATTTGCCAGGGTTTATAGTCCTTTCTATTTTCCTCACTAGGATTTAACTTCCACTTTTTAAAGGATGCCTTTTTGTGTCTCACTGCTTCTTTTACTTCTTTTTTTGCCATGGTGGCACTTTTTTGGTTCTCTTACAATGTTTTTTAATTTGGGGGTATATATTTAAGTTGAGCCTCTATTATGGCGTCTTTAAAAAGT